CCGGGTGGGCTGCCTCGCGCCGAAGCGGGGCGACAGGCCGCAGACCCCTCCTGGGAGAGCTCTCCTCCTGGCTGGCTGGAGACTGGAAGCGTGGCGCGAACTCTTCCGGGGTGGAGTGGGAGGAGCAGTGCAGGGGTGAGGAGCTTGAGGCGGGAGGAGCAGTGCAGGGGTGAAGGGTGAGGGGCGCGAGCCGGTGGTCGGTGGAGCCGCGGCGGGAGGAGTGGGGGTTGGGGGCGTTTCCAGGCTTTCCAGGATAGGCAGGACCGGCCGAGGGAGGGTTCCCTGGACCGCCCTCCTTCGGGGCCAAGTGCTTACAGCCCCCAGTGCCTCGGCTTCCACAGGATGCTGGGAGTAGGGCTTAGCTGACCTCCTCGTGGGCCTGGAAACGTGGCTACTTTCCTTCCCCGCTCTTGACTGCCTGCCTTTGTCTCTCCCAGCGCTGCAGAAGGATCTGGACCACAAGCTCTTTGGCCAGCATCTCGCAAAGAAAATCATCTTAAATGCTGTGTTTGGTTTCCTAAGCAACCCGAAGCCCAAGAAACCACTCACCCTCTCCCTACACGGGTGGACAGGCACTGGCAAAAATTTTGTCAGCAAGATCATCGCAGAGAATATTTACGAGGGTGGTCTAAACAGTGACTATGTCCACCTGTTTGTGGCCACGTTACACTTTCCACACGCGTCGAATATCACCCTGTACAAGGCAAGGGCAGACGTTGGGAGTCCTTCCTGGATGTCACCGGGCTTGGGGGTTTCTTTAGGATGGATGGGTGTTGTAATGAGTGATCCTTAATAGTTTGTGTGTCAGTTCCCCTTTGAAAGATGTGGAAGTTACAGAGGGTTTGAGATGGACGGGGCCATTACACCATCAAAGTTTTCTGGTGGTTTCTCATCTGGGCTCAGTGGTTCATGCCTGTAATCCAAGCACTTTGGGAGGCCAAGGTGGGAGGATCGCCTGAGCCCAGGAATTCAAGACCAGCCTAGGCCACATAGCAAGACCTCATCTCTACAAAAATAAAAACAGTTGGGTGTAATGATATGCATCAGTAGTCCCAGCTTCTCTGGAGGCTGAGATGGGAGGATCGCTTGAACCCAGGAGGTCGAGGCGGTGGTGAGCCATGATCTTGCTGCTGCAGGCTAGCCTGGGCAACAGAGCGAGACCCCGACTCAAAGAAAAGCTTTGTGGTGGTTTCTGAAAATAGGTGCAGTGATACTCAGTTGTGTAAGTCGGGGAGGGGGGAGGATCATAGAATTTTAGTGATAGACACGATCAAATCCAACTAAAAGATTATATCACAATCACTTTGTGAAAGAGAAAACACTTTGAGAGAGGCCTAAGTGTGTTTGACTTAACTGTTGCAAACTGCCTTTACAGTTTAACTTGCTAATTAGCATCCACGCATGTTGGCAGCAGACATACCTGGGTTTGAGTCCTAACTCTCCCACCTACGGGCTCTTGTGTTCTTGGGAAGGTTGCCTGACCTCTCTGAGACTCAGGCTCTTCATTGCAAAGCGGTGCTTGTGAGAATTCCAGGAGCTCTTGTCTCAAGTGTGTAACATGGTGCCTGGCACATGAGTGTTCAAGTAAATGCTAGCTGTTGCCTTTTAGATCTTTGTAGCAGACCTGCAGGTTAGTTAGATATTTACCCCTCCCCTGTATGAACACATTTTCCCCTTCTACTTGGGTGAGTGCGTGGTTTACCCACTTGCCTGGAGTTCCCAGGATGTTGGACTTTCAGTGCTGAAACCGGACAAGTGCTAGGCAAATCAGGTGGGCTCGTCGTCCCAGCTAGGTGTGAAGCTTCGCCAAATTGGGAACTGAGACTGAGTGAGTTACTTGTCTGCCTCAGTTTCCTCAAACGCAGTAGTAGCTGTCTTGATGGGTCTTGGGAACTCAGTAAAATGTTGCATGCACTGTGTTTGGAGTAGCGTCTTGCCCGCAGCGAGTGCCAATATGTGTTCTCTGTTACTGCGTGTGAGTCAGGGGAGCAGAGTGGTGAACCCTTGGCTGCTGGAGCCTGGCAGATCTGGGCGTGCCTTTGTTGAAACAGTGACTCGCTTTGCAGCCCAGGCAGCCACTGCAGCTTCCTCAGGCTCCTCCCGTGTACACTGGGGCCAGGCCACACCTGCAGAGCAGAATTGCTGCTCAGGTGAGACACTTAAAGGGAACACTGTAGCCATGGTCACAGAAGCTAAGTAAACCCCAAAATATGACTAAGTCAGGACCTACACTGTAGCTTAAAGAGTCTTAGGAAACAAAGAGATCTTTTCTCCTTACCTTGATTGCCAGTATTTTTTAAAAATTACTTGTAGAGACAAGTTTGACTATGTTGCACAGGCTGATCTTGAACTCCTGGACTCAAGCAAAGCCTGGGCCTTCTAAAGTGCTGGGATTATAGGCATGAGCCACTGCACCTGGCCAATTGCTTAGTGTTATAAAAAGGACCTAAATATGTTCTTTTTTTTTGAATTGGAGTCTCACTCCATCACCCAGGCTGGAGTGCAGTGGCACACTCACGGCCACCCCAGCGTCGACCTGCTAGGCTCCAGCAGTCCTGCCTCGACCTTCCAAGTAGCCAGAACAACAGGCGCGCACTACCACGCCTGGCTAATTTGATTTATTGTAGAGATGAGGTCTTGCCAAGTTGCCCGAGCTGGTCTTGAACCCATGAGCTCATGCAGTCCACTCACCTCAGCCTCCCGAAGTGCTGGGATTACAGGCTGAGCCACCAAACCCGGCCCTAAATATGTTCTTATGGAATGTTTCTGGCTAGGCAAATGTATTTCAGGAACCTCCCGACATTATTCCAGAAACTTGAGTGTCTCCTCACCACACTCTTCCAAAGCACACGAGCTCTCTGGTTCAGGGGCTTTGCTTAAGTGAGCCTGTCTTCTCTACTTTCCCATCTGAAGGAGCACCTTCTCCGAGCCAGTCTAGGGACTGAATGAGGGAGTGGGACACTTGGTTACTGCCTTCTTCCAAGAAGATTGGTGTACACGGAATAGAGTTAATATTCTCTTTTCTACATTTTTTTGAGCTGGAGTCTCACCCTGTCACCCAGGCTGGAATGCCGTGGCATGATCACAGCTCACCACAGCCTCTGCCTCCTGGGCTCAGGATCCTTCTACCTCAGCCTCCCGCACAACTGGGACTACAGGCATGTGCCACTACACCCAGCTAATTTTTAAAAAAACGTTTTTTAGAGATAGGGGTCCCACTATGTTGCCCGGGCTGGTCTCAAACTCCTGGCCTTAAGTAATCCTTCTACCTCGGCCTCCCGAAGTGCTGGGTTTACAGGTGCGAGCCACTGCACCCAGCAGTATCACTGTTTTGATGACGAAAGACCAGGAATTCTGACAGCATCCATGTGGCCTTTTCAACACAGGAATGATAACCAGAGTGTGAGGCTTAGGAGTTAGGCAGTGCTGGGTTCCCATGAGGCAGGTTGAGTACGCTCTCTGCATTGTTTTCCTCATCTGTAAACCTGGTGTGCCAAGGCCCACTACGTGGCGTTGTTAGGAACAAAAGAGTGTGTGCATGTCAAGTGCTCCCTGCCGAGCAGCGAAGCTCCCTATGCAGCCGCTGTTCTGGGAGGTAGGAGCCATTCTGATGGCCTCTGCTGAGGATTTTGTATTGGCTCTCCCCTTGACTCAGGATCAGCTACAGCTGTGGATCCGAGGCAACGTGAGCGCCTGCGCCAGGTCTGTCTTCATATTTGACGAAATGGACAAGATGCACGCAGGCCTCATCGACGCCATCAAGCCCTTCCTCGACTACTATGACCTGGTGGACGGGGTCTCTTACCAGAAGGCCATCTTCATATTTCTCAGGTGAGGTCAGCGCTGGGCACGAAGGGTCCGTACTCCGGCCCAGGCTGGGGGCTCAGAAAAGCCAGCCTCATTCCCCGGAATTGTTTTGCAGCAATGCTGGAGCAGAAAGGATCACCGACGTGGCTTTAGATTTCTGGAGGAGCGGGAAGCAGAGGGAGGAGATCAAGCTCAAGGACATCGAGCACGCCTTGTCCGTGTCGGTCTTCAACAACAAGAACAGTAAGTGGGCCGTTGCCCACCAGCCCCATCTGGCTCGCAGTCCCGCGCCCTCAGTGTTGACGTGTCAGGTCACCATCACACAGGAAGCTGAGTAGAAATGCGGATTCTCAGACCCTTCTCCCGACAGAATTTCTGAGGGGAATCTGGTGTCTGACTCTCAGTGACTTGTATGCACTTGAAAATCCTCGGTTTTAAATAAAGGGGGAACTGGACACAGCTCACGCCCGAAATGCCAACACTTTGGGAAGGCAAGGCTAGAGGATTGCTTGAGCCTAAGAGTGAGACCAGCTTGGACAACTGTAGCACAGATCTCGTCCCTACAAAAAAATCAAAAAATTAGCCCGGTGTGGTGGCGCGTGCCTGTAGTTTTAGCTACTTGGGAAGCTGAGGAGGGAGGATCGCCTGAGCCAGGAGGTTGAGACTGTGGTGAGCTGTGGTCATGCCACTGTACTCCAACCTGGGTGACAGTTGAAACTCCAACTCAAAAAAAAAGGAGGGAATTGTTGATCATCAAGATCTCGAAAGTTAGTGTACCCATGTTCTTCGTGCAGGTGATTCGACAAGGAAGGCTTTTGTGAGCAGCTCAAGTGGGGGGATGACCTGTTGAGTCTTTCCCTTTATCAGCATTGCCCAGGGGCCAAACGGTGGCTGGGCCCTGTGTGAAACTCCCTGCATGTTCCATTTACTCTTCACAATAACCTTGTAGGATAATGGTCCCCAGCCTTTCTGGGACTGGTCTTGTGGAAGACAGTTTTTCCACAAACAGAGGGTGGGGCCAGGAGAGAGAGCACCACCAGGCACTAGATTCTCACAAGGAGCCTGCAGCCTAGACCCCCCTTGCATGCACAGCTCGTGATAGGGTTCCTGCTCCCATGAGAATCTAATGTGGCTGCTGCTGATCTGATAGAAGGCAGAGCTCCATTTGCCCCTGCACACCTGCTGTGTGGCCTGGGAATTGGGGACCCCTGTTAGAGTAGAGACTGAGGCTCGGAGGGAAGGAGCAGTTTGCCCAGGGCTGTGCAGCCTGTTAGGCATCTCTGATCCCAGAGCCTGAGCCTGTGACTTTGAGCTCACAGCTTCTCCAGGGGCTGTCATGAGACCTTTGACCTTGAACCCAGGGAGGTAGAAGGCCTTCGTGATGGAGGTGGAGTCACAGGCTGAACCCGTGGGAGCCTCATGCCTTGCTGTTGGGGTCTTTACCGGCTGGGGATCTCTTGTGGTAACCAAACCAGGGCCTCTGTGGAAGCAGACTCCCGAAATTCAGCATAGGGTATTGTATGTAAATACATGCAAATACAGTATTACTGAGGAAAGACAAATCGTTTATGTTGAGTAGTTGCTTGGCATGCCAGAAAACTTGATCACACGCAACAGAAAGCTTAGCCGCCTAGATCCCACGTTGTGGGTGGCTGAGAGCTATTCAAGGGTCCATGCTTGGGAGTCGCCGACCTGGCCCAGCAGCACACTCACTGGCCCAGGCCCATGGCTGGACGTTCATTTAGCAGGTGTTTCTTTTCTTTTTCTTTTTCTTTTCTTTTCTTTCCTTTTTTTAAAAATTTTTTTAATTCAGGGTCTCATTCTGTCACCTAGGCAGGAGTACAGTAGCATGATCACAGCTCACTGTGGCCTCAACCTCCTGAACTCAAGCAGTTCTGCCTCAGTCTCTCAAGTAGTTGGGACTGCAGGCCCCCGCCACCACACCTGGCTAACTTTTTTATTGTTTTGTAAAGATAAAAGTCTTGCTATGTTGCCCAGGCTGGTCTCAAACTCCTGGGCTCAGCAGTCCTCCTGCCTGGGCCTCCAAAGTGCTGGGATTACCGGCATGAGCCACCATGCCCAGCCTGGACTGTCGTTTTTTTTTTCTGAGTTGGAGTCTCATTCTGCGCCCAGCCACCGCAGCCTCGACCCGCTGGGCTCCGGCGATCCTTCCGCCTCAGCCTTCTGAGTAGCCGGAATTACAGGCGTGCGCTACCACGCCCGGCTGATTTTTTGATTTATTGTAGAGATGAGGTCTCACTGCCCAGGCAGGTCTCAAACCCGCGGGCTCAGGCAATCCACTCACCTAGGCCTCCCAAAATGCTGGGATTAAAAGATGAGCCACCGAGCCTGGCCTGGACTGTACTTTCAACCGAGTGGTCAGGGAAGGCTGCCTAGGAGGGTGGCATTTGGGTTGACTAGAGGCAGTGAGGCGCGTGGCATCGGAGGGAAAAGCGTCCCACCAGAGGGACAGCAGGTCCAAGGTCCCTGAAGAGGGCATGTGCTTGGGGTTGCTGCTTGGTCCCGCATGAGCACAGGAGGGCAACAGGAGGTGAGACAAGGTGTGGGACTGTGGTGGGTGCAGGTCTGAAAAGCCTGGTGGCCACAGTGAGCCTTGGGTTTTACTCCACGTGGAGGAGAGAGCCCCTGGGGGTTCCGAGTAGGCGGTGACAAGATCTGCCAGAGCCTTCACAGGACCTGGACAACTGCTGGGTGGAGAATGGACTGATGGCCACAGGGGCGGGGAGCCCGCATGGCAGCCCTCAGGGCAGCCATGTGTGGGGGACATGTCGGCCTCTGGGTGTGTTTGGAAGGAGGAGACAGTAAGAGTCCTGGGGTCGAATGTGGAAGCGAGCAGTTGGATGGGCAGCACGGCCTTTAGATCGGGTGGAGGGAGTTTGTGGGACGGTGTGTTCGGGGAGGGCAGGGATGTGGAGCTCCAGGGAGGCGTTGGGTTGCAGGGACAAAGGTGGGGCTGGTCGGTACCTGGTCTGTAAGGCCTCGGGGCAGTCTGAACTCTCTTGTTCTGCCAGAACGCTTCCGGGTCTGTGTGGCCCAGTCCTTGTCACTGAGGCTCTGCCCAATGCTGGCCCCTCTGCCCGGCCCTGGCTGCCACCCCAGCTCCGTGGCCTCTGCCCTCCGTGCTAGCTGCGCCCAGCAGCCTGGAATTTTCCCTTCACTGGTGTGCCAGGTGTCTCCTCGCCCAGAACGGTATGCCCGTGAGGACAGCGTCGCGGCTGCCCGGCTCTCAGCTTGGTCCCAGGCCCAGGGCGTGCCTGGTGCCCAGCAGGCTGTCGAGTCGTACAAGTGAGCTCGCAGAGGCGGGAGCTGTCCCACTTGTCACTGGTTAATTTTATTCTTTCCATGCCGGAGACTCCGCCCCATCCTGTCTGCCAAGCATGTATTGAGCGCCAGCAGTGATCAGAGCACCGTTTGGAATGAGAAGTATGGCCCCAGTGACAGGCGCTCGGGTCAGGGAGCTGAGTTGCAGTTAATGGTGGGGCAGAGGGAAGCGGGTCCCATGGACACCCTGGGCAGCCCCTGGGCTTTGTGTTGTCTCAGGATGGGGTTGTGTTCCGGGAACCAGGAGGGGGTGGGTGGTGCCGCGCCCGTGCCCTCAGGGTTTGCCACGGCGTGATCCCACCCAGCAGCGCTCTCAGGGAATTTTGTGTGGCCCCCAGATGCTCTGCAGAGGCAGCGACGGGGTTACCCTGTGGCTGGAGCATGGGCTGGAGCTCCCACGGGCTTCTCCGGCGTGAGGGGGCAGGGACTGATGGGACTCCTTGACCTGTGCTTCCTGGAAGCGCCACGTTGTGATTTGTGACTCTGCTGCCTGCCTGCTTGCTCCCCGGCCCAGGCCCTGGGCTATGAGCCCCTTTGCACTTCCCATCTCCGAGTCACACTGGGGAGGGCCCCCAAGCCCACAGTGAACAGGTCACCTGTCCACTGTGCCACATCACCCTGCCCCTTGCTGACAGAACTGCCGCAGCTCGGAGCTGTTGGTCAGCAGCGCCTTCCTCACTAGCTCAGGAGCTCCAAGTGGGCCGGGCCCACAGCTCTCCGCGGGGCCGGGTCCCAGCCCTGGGCCACAGTGCACACCCAGCAGACGTGTGTGGGGCCAGTGGGTGACACCCCACCAGACACGCCTGGGGTGGGTGGGAGGCCCCACAGTCGGAATGTGTGTGGCCGGTGCGTGGTGCCCCAGTAGATGTGTGTGGGGTGGCTGGGTGACACCCCAGGGGATGTGGTGGATGAATGGTGGGTGACTCCCCAGGTGACGTGTGGTGGGTGGGCATACGGATAACAGCTCCACGTTTCTCTTCCAGGTGGCTTCTGGCACAGCAGCCTAATTGACCGGAACCTCATAGATTATTTTGTTCCCTTTCTCCCCCTGGAATACAAACACCTAAAAATGTGCATCAGGGTTGAAATGCAGTCCCGAGGCTACGAAATTGACGAGGACATTGTGAGCAGAGTGGCCGAGGAGATGACATTTTTCCCCAAGGAGGAGCGAGTTTTCTCGGATAAAGGCTGCAAAACTGTGTTCACCAAGTTAGATTATTACTACGACGATTGACAGCCTGAGTCACTGCTGTAGTTGGAGAAACGCGACACTGTCCCTCCGCACGCCTCTGCCCACTCCGTCCCCGAGAGGAACCCAGTGAATGTTTCCTGTTGGATGGGCAGGAGCTCTCCTGGGCAGTTCCTCCCTGGGCCCTGCCGGCCATCGCTCCATAGGGCGTGTGGGCGTGGACCGAACCCTGCAGAGCCTTCAGAGCCGCGAGTGGCCAGCTCCTGCCCACTCCTTCCAGGGCTCCTGGTTTTTTTAAAAATTATATTTTGATTTCAGGTGTTTCTGTTTCAAGGAAGGACAAAGAAGTTTTATTGAACGTGTGGTAACTATTTAAAATGAATTTTAACATTATGAGAAACTTCTCAGATTCTAAGTTGTTGACTTTGTGTGCTCTTTCTTAAGTTCCCGCCATTCTCACATACGCCGTGACATAGCTTTACTGCAAAAGAGCCCAAGCACAGGTGCATGATGTTTATCCTGTAGGTGGCAGGAGCTGGGGATGGGACTGGAACACTCCCCAGCTCTGCCCCAGGATGTGCCAGCGCTGCCAGGCACGATGAAGTCTTCAGAAAAAAGACAAGAACACAAGGGGAGGTGGTCAGACACCACAGATAAGCCAAGTATCCTTTCCGAGGGTTTTCAGCTTAGTAACAATGTTAACTTAGTAACAGTGATCTTAGCAACACTGTGAACATTTGTTGTTGTTTTTTTGAGTTGGAACTCACTCTGTCGCCCAGACTGGAGTGCAGTGGCCGCTCCC